GCCCCACTGAGGGGCGTATGGAGGGCACGTGCCCAAGCAGGGACTGGTCCCTGTCCGGCCGCCTCTTCCTGGATGGTGCTGGTGAGTGGGAGCGGCGCTGGGGAAGGGCAGCACAGTGATGCCTCCTTCACCAAGGCCAGTGCACTGCCCGTGCTCGGTGCCAGGCAGAGAGCTGACTCCATTAAGAGTGCCTGGAGACGGGACTCATGCTCTCGCTTAGTCCTGGGTTTAAAGGCTTTGCAGATTAAACAAGATGAGTGTGGATCGCTGCAGGGAATAGGCTTGCTGCACTCCTTGCAGGCTTTGAAGCTCTTATGGCTAGGCATGCCCTGCTGTGGTGAAAGGGTCAAACACAAAGAAGAGTCTTGTAAGTTCACAAGTACTTAACTGAAGCACAGAGGTAAACAATCAAGGGATTAGCAGTTGAAAACAACTCAGGGAGCTGAGGTTGTTCCAAGGACCATCAGGAGAGGTAAGAAGGAATTGGCTGGGGAGAGAGCCAGCAAGGGTGTATATGCCTTGATATACTGGCTCCCTGCTGGCTCTAAGGGTACTGCTGAGGGAAAATCTTCCGACGACGTGTGCATGCTGCACACACACACACCTATAGTGGAATGGACATGAGCAATCATTTGAAGAAGAAACAGCGGTTTGTTGAGCCCTGGGAATAACTATCACCATACGTAATAGGATACATGATGACCATGGAGCAATCTTATTAGAATGGACATTGAGTTTGATTTACTATAATATTAACCCTATTTTCTGTTCTATTAACAAAAGCAGTAACTAGCAAGTTATTTGCAGAACTGGATAGTAACTATCCCCAGCCAGATACCTGTCTTAATGTGAACTAAATAATTGATTCCGGAGGGGATTGTCTCTCTAAATCAAGACTGGATTCCTTTCTGGACGACTTACTTTAATCAATTAAACTTATTGGGGTCAATTGTAAGTGTGTGAAATTCAATGCCCATTGTGATACAGGAAGTCAGACTAGATGATCTAATGGTTCCTTGAAATGTTAAAATTCATGAATTTCTCTTAAGAGCTTTTTTGGAGAAGCTACTTCATTTTTAAGAAGGAATCTTTATCTCCTTAGAGACTATTACTTTGAGAAGCTAGCACAGGAATGTCTTTCTGGTGCATATGCTACTGCCCTCTAGCTTGCTTCCGCT